ATGAAAATATCTATAATGATAATAATTTTTACAATTTGAAATACAACTTGTGTAAATGAATACTTGTATAGATTTAGATTTGGGCGTTATCGATATATTTTCATATATTTATAAAAATTAATAAATAATTGAATAAATAAATTAATTTTACATTGTTTTATTATGATTATATTGAGAAAGTAAATATATGTAATATATGTAACATTTCTATAATTTTGCACTGTCAGTTCTAAAATAAACAGAAGTTAATTATTTTGATGAAATATGGCGATTTATAGAATATCGATTAACGTTCATATTTTTGTAAACATCAATCTAGCTTATTTTCGTGTTAAATTTACGTAAAATGAACAATGTCATGTAAAATATATAAAAGAAAAATAAATCACTTTTGAACGTGATTAGCTAGCGTGATCTGTCAATGTTTCTGTAGAAGTTATTGTTATATTACTAAGGATAGAATTGCAGGAAATTGCGAGAAAATGAGAAATATTATTACAGTTGTCGAAAAAATATTGCATATGTTATATAAATTTATTATATATATAAACATTTATATATAAACGTAAAATGACAAATATTTTTATACTGTACTATAAATATATTAATTTTTGTTTAAAGATAGATATAGAATACATGGAAAATTCTTTAAAGATAATTGACAATTCTTTGCCTTTCAATCAAAGAATCACTTTTAAGAAGTTGTTGTGAAAAAAAATACAATGCCTAGAAAAACAAGCTCTATTAAACGTGTAATTTTATTTCTGATGGAAGATTAACTCAACGCTAGTGACGAAAGAATGGCTCTCCACTATCGCTCTCTTTTTTCATTTTTTTTCTTTCTCTCATCTTTGCCTTACTACACTACCACCACCCATCCACGTGTGCTCCCAATTTACTAATTTAGGGAATCTATTTGCAGCAGGGGGTTAGATTCGATCCTGATATGCCACAAACCATACGTTTGGAATTTGCAAAAAGTAACACAAAGGTTAGCAAACCCAAGCAACCAGCCGCTGCAGCAGCCACCTCGCACCCCGCTCTGATGCACCCTTTAACGGGACGTAAGTATGCACCGCCACTCGTTCACTTGCTGGATACGTCTCACTTACTATTTCTCACCCACTGCACCGACTACAAAGTGTCCCACTTCCTGTTGTCACTCGGCTGTTTTTTTTCAAAAGGATTTTTTTTACATACGTATCCTCCCCTGTCCCTCCACCAGCCTTCGCGGCGAGATCTGATGAGATCTCGTTATTGAGAATTGTACGACAATCGATCAAAGTACGAAGGAATTTCTCGCAGTAAACTTTCGCAATTAATATTATTTTATAATGTAAGGTATATATATATAGAATATTACACAGGTAATACCTATACACTCGCGGTATGCGGTTACAATGGTGATCATGTTGAGGAAATTATTGTGCTTATTATGATGTAGGACTAGTGAATAACATTTGTGTCGAGTATAGATAATCTCCGATTTCCATGGTAACTATATACTTGCGAATCCGCAATCCATCTAAAGTCAACGCGCTGTTATTTTCTCAGACAACATTAGACTTAGAGGTTCTTTGTTCTCGTCATGTGTTATTCTAATTCAGATTTGTTTATTTATCTATCTACATCTTCATTTGTATTTACTTAAGTTTCAAATTCTTAAATTTCTTCTCACCTATTCTAGATTTCTTACATAATACATTTTATAAAAAACGTTAAATTTATACACAATTTTTATAAAAAATTAATTATTTGATGGTTTATTGTTTTATTATTTAATGTATATTTATAATATATTTTAATAATATTTTAATAGTATATTTATAATATATTTATAATATATTTTAAATTATTTACATTCAATAAGAATAATTTAAATTTGTTGAAATCTATGTTAAAAGTCTCAATTCGAATAAAACTAAATTTATTTTTTAAATTTTCTGAACGTGAGGTCCGTTTATCAATACGAAATTAGTTTTTAATAAATGATATTTTAATATTCAAAAAATATATTAATACGCTTGTGTACTTTTATTGTTGTTGGACGATTATGATTAATACATGTACGGGCATGCGTTCTTTTGAGGTATCCTGGGTATAAATCTTGTCGCATACATTCCCATGTGTGCGTTATTGATATTATGAATTATAATTGATATTATAAATCATAACATTAAAAATATTTGTTAGAATTATCAATCATTTGTTTATCTGCATTGCGCGATACAGATGGATGTCAAGAGAATTTATAATGACAATGAATGATACATTATTCATCGAATATGAATTGAAATTAAATGAATCTTTCACCTTCTCTTTATTTTTTATATGTAAAAGTATCTCTAATAATATTTGATAAAATTTATTCGGTAAAGATAATTATTATTTTCAATTAAATATTATAAGTGTAAAATTGATGGTTGAAAGATTAAAGAAAAGTGTAAAAATTATGAAAAAAATTATAATTTATAATTGATCCACTGTATAATTGATTCATGTCGATTGTACATTTATGTAGAATTATTCTGACTAATTAAAATAGCTTAGTGGCAAATGTAATAACGGTACGTGATCTTGCTAATGTATGATAGAGGAATGTGGAAAATCTATATATGTTTTATATAAAAGTGAACAGAAGAAAGATGACTACCAGTGGTCAAGCCAAGTACATATACATATATTTTGAAGATCTATCATGGGTAATGGAACGAGAGGGATAGAATAAGTTGAATAAATCTCAAAGGTCTGCACGTTTACGGGCTACGTGCGCGTTTTGCGCACGCAATAAATATGTATTTATGTCACATTACGGAAACAGACTTGCCGGACGGACGTAAAGCGCATCAGTTTCCGAAGAAACAGCGACTGTGATAAATTTTGTTGCAAGCGCACTGTCTGATTTTTGTATATAAGATGAATTTTATTTCCATGATATTTGAAAACATCATTTGCCGAGCGATAATTTATTATCCGTGTCAGTGACGAATAAACTCCAACTATGATATGATGATCTTTGTCATGGGCGTCAACTTTTGTGGGAAGTGTGTGGAGTATTCTACATATCAGAATTTTTCGTGTGTGGAATTCTACACATGAATAATTTTTTTTTAAATAAATAATGTTGAGCGAAAATAGTTAAATTTTTTTGTAACTTTTATTTCAAAATTTCAATTACTGAGCGAATCGAGCGCGGCCGATAAAATATTCACGCTTTCTCCTTTTTTTTTTGTAACGTAGTCCATATTTTTCTCCGTGAATATAGAAAATCGCTAGTAGTTTATATTTTTTCGTAGAAACGATTAAGGCGTTCGGAGAACGCTTTGTCAGCGCTATCGCGTCATTATATATTTATTTTTTATTAAACATTAAAATAAGAATAGAACTAGAATTCTAATCAGAGCTAACGCGTAAATTCGTCTGTGATTGGTCTGACATTTTTCTTCTTGTATTTCATTATCTAACCTTTTGACGATGAATGTTACAGAAAAGTGCTGCGCATTAATAATTTATTATTCATACATTCATAATTTCGAAGACTATCTCGGATAGAGGGAGAGATGTAATCAAATAGGGATTTCGAAGTTAAGTTTAATGGGCATGATTCTTGATAAAATTTACAATGAAGAAACTAGTTTATTAGAAAGATATCGTTGTTCAGCTAGGAGTACCAGATTTGTCAGAGAGAAATTCGGAGTTTACTTTCGCTTTGAAGAGGAGAAAAATAGATAATCAGACTACGAAGTGATGATCTCGCAAAAAAAGGTCATGAATGAGGCTAGAGGGAAATTATTGGAATATGTGTTCATTTTTCATATGTGTGCGGCAACACTGGTCCAATTCCACACATGGCTAATCAGCAAGTTGGCGCCTCTAATCTTTGTGATATAATAAGATTAGGATTTTAACATATTATTATAGTAAATTATTTTAAATATAAAATAAGACATTATATTTAAAAAATATTCTTATTTTTCTAAATTAAGATTCATGTCATACTAATAAAATCATATAAGTCTTTCAATTTCTACAGTGCTGAAATTGATTATGAAAGATTTAAGATGCGCCGCTTTTAAGACTTAATAAAAGATTATGTATTGTTATATAGGAGCATTTAGATAATAATTCCATGTAATCTTTCAATCAATTTTCTAACTTGGATATTTAAACAAATTTACAGAGTATCTGTAAAGGTAAATCGATTATTTAATTGTCTAAAAATTAGTAGTACCATCGGTACTATCCTTCTCAACTGAAACCAATTATTAATGGCGTTCTTAATATCGCGCAAATAGACCGTAACAGCGTCGAGAAATTTCGCGGAATAATTTCGTTTTAGGTGGTAGCAATTTCGTACGATGACCCAATTTCATCGCACCGCACGCCAAGCCACATCGATAAGACATAATCGAACCGTCAAACGTAGTTTCGAAGGACTACCTTCTTAAATACTGAAGAAATTAGAGAAATAAAATTATGGAAATAATTAGTGAAAGTTCATGACATTCAATAATTTTGACTAATGCTCATTTCCAATGTAAATTAACTTTAATCTCGGGTTCAACTTACTTTTTATTTTTTTTTTAATTTTTAGAACTAGAAAAAAGTAAGTTAAACTAAGATTAATCTATTCATCAATGATGGAAACGGGTATAAATGTTCAGTTTATTTTCTCATAAGATTATCGATAAACAATTTTTAATAAACTATTTTAACTAAATTACAAATTAAAAACTTGTTAATTTTGAGATAATCATTTAAAATTACATAACGTATCATTTAAAATTACGTACCATTAAAATTACGTTTAAAATTACTATTTGACACGTTATACGTACAATTATATGGACATATAGATTTATTATTACGAATAATGAATAAAAAATGACGATTTCTTCGATGAATATTGATTCAATTTTTTTTTAATAAAGATTTGTTGAGAAGTATAATTGTAAGTATAATTGCAATATTTGACATAAAAAATGAGGGAGTATTGATCTCTGCTGTGTAGAGATATATGTTTCTGAGAAACATGTATAAAAGTTTTGTGTGTGTGTGTGTGTGTGTGTGTGTGTGTGTGTGTGAGTGTGTGTGTGTGTGTGTGTGTGTTTTCTAGGCTGATAGATTTCGGAATTGTTGCCAACGCTTTCCAAACTCTTGGAGTTATATTCGTCGAAACTTCTCTCTTCTATGTTTCGGGAAACAAGGCCTCGGCTTTGAGTTTATCCAAAGTAATTCGTTGCTCTCAAACCGAATTTATACGTAAACGGTATTTCGGGATAAATTTACATAAAAGTATATCGATGGAGTAATCTTCAATCCGAAGAATGGCTTACTCTTGAAAACAATAATACATTATTTTAAAATATAAATTTAATGTCTATCAGATTG